ACAGTGGTCGTAAACTCTTAAATATATTTTACGTCGTAATAAAAATATAACTTGACATACGTATTTATAAATAATTTATTTTCAAATTACATCATTTCTATGACCAAGGGCAGCGTAAGGCATGGGCGACGTGGGCCACCGCCTACGCCTCGCGGTCCGAAGGGCCTCGCGCCTCGAAAGTTTATGCATTACTTAAAAGCCGCGAACGCGACGAAAAAATTTTACTCGTCATAAAACGATAAATAGTTTATCAAATTTTTATTCGTAAAAATGCAGTTTCAACTGCTTTTTATTTTATAAAATCCGTCTTCTTGCGACACCAGAGGGCCTTTTAAACAATAGGTAGTCTGTTAGCGTTGGTCAGTAGTAGTCCAAATTCAATATGAACGTTTGTTTCTTGAAAATTTGATCACGATTTAAATACAGTATTTACTTTTAATATTGCCGATATGTCATCGCAAAGAAAACGTGTTGTATTATCATTAAAAGACAAATTAAAGTATTTGTTTCGATTATCCGGATTTTCCTTTATCCGGACTACCTTCATCCCCAATTAGTCCGGATAATCGAGGTTCTACTGTATTTGATTATCGGTATATTTACAGATAAATTATTTAATTAGTGTCAATCACTAATCTTTATTTACTGCCATATATGGAAGGAAAATATAACAGTTCTGGAACTCATCAGTGTCTGAGTAGATTGAAATCACTAAACAACCGACTCGATCTAGCGGTGTTCTCCACATTTACATCATCCACATTACATTCATGAGATTATTCTTATAAATACATTCTTTTCAAGAATAATATTAATTGGCAGATAGCCTATATATTGGACATAATTGCCATGCATTCACCATATAGTTAAGGATATCCTGATACCACGAAAGTATCGATGCCAATATCAGTTTCGACAGTATCGGAATTTCAAAACATAAAGAGTATATGTTTGATGGTGGTTTAATTCAAAAATCCAATTAATTTCATTAATTTTTTATGTTATTCTGAACTTAGTAATGTTAAAGTTCATGTATGATAAATAAAACACAATGTAGTTTTTAATTAAAACAATAATTAACAAAACAAAACTAATAAACAATTAGTATATTCACCTTGCATAACACTAAAACTTTATTTTCAGAGTTTAAAAATTGTACTTGATGTGTAACTAAGATGCAAATCTTTTCTTTCAAATATTCCATTATGCATCTGAAATAAATACAAAGTTCAAACATATTCAATTATACCATAAATAACATTTAAATATTTACTTTTCGAAGATATGTTTTCCTACAGGAACATCGACAGCACTTAGTGGATCATCGAACAGGAATATATCTGCATCTACATATAGTGCTCTAGAAGATATTTAAATATATCATAAAAAGTGATTTTACAGCAAAACAAATGATACTTTACGGAGGAGCGATCTAAACTTACAATTAGTTTTATAGATTGTTGTCTTCCTGGTTAGTTATTTTTACTTTCCCGGATGTTATAAATAACAGAGAGAAAGTGTGGCAAATAGTCATAAAATGACTCTCCCAAAATTTTTATATTTTTGGATTCAAAACACCTTAAAACGTCGAAAAATTCAAAAATTCTAGAATAATGTTTTTATGTATGGAATTTGTGTTTCGCGGAGGACACGATTTTTTCACCCTCTTTGAAGTTTAATAACTCCTGAGCTTTTTATCAAAAATTTCTGAAATATTGCAGAGAAGTTTGTATATTAGGGGATTAATGCTTTTAAGTTTTGGTGATTAGAGGTCGAGGGGGTGAATAGATAAAGTAGGTCGTATGTACCTCCAATTAAGTAGAACTTAATGATGAGTTTACTTGTTATTAGCATTTAAGAATTTTCATAAAACATATCCCTCGTTTTAACAAATTAAGCTTTTTGCCATTTTATAATAATTACAAATATAAATACAGTATCTTCATATATTTGAAGTATAGACTACGAACAAAAATATAATATTTTCGAGTCTATCTTTATCCTTTAATCCAACCACAGAAATAATAGTTACAATGGTTTTGAAAAATAAAGCTTCTTAACAAAGATAAAAACTTCTGTGCTTGGATTAAAGGATAAAGATAGACTCGAAAATATTATATTTTTTTTAATAGTCTAAACTTCAAATATATGAAGATAATGTCCTGAGTCAACATGATAATTGTAATACAGTATCTTTTTGAATAAAATATCATTACAAACAACACCACCGACTGTTCCCACAAAAGATAAGTAATTCTTTGCTAGATTTTCGTACAACCTGTCATTCTCCACCTATGTGAAGCTAAATATCGATAAAATATAAATATGAAAAGATTGAAAAAAAGCATTGTTTTGAAATAAAAACTTCCAGCAACGTGTTAGATAACGATTACCGCTGCTATGATATATAATTTCGGGAATTCAGTTTTATAATTTTAATAAATGATTACTTATATAATTATAGGCCTACTTGTATTACTTAATAAAAATGTGTGTAACATCGTCTGTTATGAAATTTGGTTTTAGAAAGTTAATAAATATTAATAACTATAAAATCGTAACGTGCTTAATTTTGAAACTGAAAATAGGAATCACAAGAAGTATAAATGTTAGTAATGAGTAAAATCTTCATTCACTCTGATCCTACTGGACATATACCCGACCCCCTTTAACTCCCCAGTTCTCTCGACCTTTCACCACTAAAATTAAATAGCAGCAATTTCAGTCGAGTACAAACAATTAGGCAAAATACTTATAAATTATTAAAAATTACATCGAATCAAAAACAAAGCCAAAATCTCTAACCAGTTAAAAATTTTATTAAATTTGTTAAATGAAAATTTACAAAAAAGTACCTTTAATCACAAATGAGTTAGAAACCTCTGCCAGATTTAATAGTTTTAGAAAATTAGGTAAGTAAATTATAATATAGAAATAAATTTTTCACTTCAAATTCGTTAAAAAATTTCTTCTTAATTAAAGCGTGAGAGCCAGAACTTGACAAATAAATTTTTTGGATGGAAAAAAAAATTAAATTTATCGAAAGTTAAATTGTGGTAAAATTTTCCCAGCGAAAAAATAATTTAATTGTCGGAGAATATGATCGTATCTTTCAATGAAGTCACTTCCTTTCCCAGGTGACACATCGCATGTGTCACCGGAAACCTAACAAAATCACTATTTGTCGGAAAACTTGATATTGCCTAAAAAGGGCATCGAAATTAAAAGGGAAAGACCCCCGAAATAAAGATGATAAAGTCGATGGCAACAGAGAATTCAATGATCCACCTCCTGGGGAAAGGATATTCCAGATGTTCTCCTTCCGCTGATCTCTTCCGCCACCGATCCCGGCTGCCGTTGTTCCCAGACTGTAGCTGTTCTTTTCGGACATTCGAATTTCTCCATCCAACAACCCAACGAACTTCAACATTTCTACCCGGTTGCAATAGATTAACTATAGTCCGACGAAATTCAAGATTCGACGGAACAAGGTACAGTAGAGCATCGATTATCCGACCCCCGATTAACCGTCACATCGGTTAACCGATCGTTCTAGTCGGCAAATTTCAAATGTCCGCTAGTGATGTGGCACTACAATATTTGGCTTTGTCTTGGCTGCTATAATATTATTTTTGTTAAATTTTTGCGTTTTAGCTGGCAACATGACTCGACCATAGAAGGGAGGCAAGTATTTAAACGAGACTTAATTTTCTAATTACGAATGGTTGTTTGTTTCGTGAGCAATAAAATAATTAAAAAATAATTTTTAACGATACAATAGCGATGATTATTATTTTAAAAAAATTTGTTAGGATTAACATCGATGGAAATTCAACGCGAAGTAGTTTAATAGCGACATACTAATATACTAATTATATGGGATATACTAATATACTTTATTAATAATGTATTTTTTTCATTCTTTTCGGTTATCCGATTTTCTCAGTTATCCGACCAACCTGAGTCTTCAATTGAGTCGGATAATCGATGCTCTACTGTATTTATAGCCTCGCGTAGAAATATAAACTCTCTCTCGCGCGCGGCTAGGGACCCGTTAAAATAATACCTAATACTATTGAATAAAACATAATGAACTATGTTAGTCTAATATAAGCCTTATCCATTATATGATGCTATATAGAAGCTCGGAAATCTATGTTATCCTATGTATTTGTGTAAATAGTTTACATAAATAGGTATTATTCTTCTATAATTGAGTTCTGGTGTGCACTTATTTCGGACGCGCTGTCTCGCGGGCGTCCTACCTCACGAAATGCGACCGCTCGCGCGTAAAACGAAACGAATCGCCCTCGCAATTTCTGTGTTCTCTAAAACACAGTGTGTCAATCATGACATGGACATCGCTGATCCGGTGCCGACCTGTCGGTCACAAAAGTAATTCAGTGAGTTTCTTAAATTAAAGGTTACTGAAATATACTTGTATGAGATAGCAGAAATTCCTATATTAGAACTAGTCTTTAATAGCAACATTGCGCGAATTACGCAACAATTGTTGGTCTTAGCAACCTGAGAAAGTCTTCCGTTACATTTTCTCGAAAGCAATATGACGCTTTCTCTTGAACTATTAACCTGTGCACGGCCGAAATCGTCCGTGAATATCACCAGAGACGGCCGAAAAGAGTCAGTCTCCGTTTTAGTCCTCGGAGAGAAAAGAAATCGACGTCCAACAAATAGTCACCCATGTAATAGTCGCCCATAGGATAACCTTTTCTGTGTGTGTGTGTGTTAGTGCACGATCGAGTCTGGATAAATCAAAAGGGACATTTTGACTGGCTATTTCACCCCTGGATACATGCTGTAGAAGCCCATAAGTTCTCTGATTCAACACGACCCGACCGGGATATCAATTACCAAAGGTATTTATCACCACGCGAACCGTATGTGAACGCTTTCTCTCCGCGACAATACTTTATCCAATTTATTTTTAAATAAACCCTTGTTAATTGTTAAGTCTAGTCCGAGTCGCTTCCACATGCTGTCTCTCGACCTAACATTAAGAATCCGTCTGTCCACCTACGGGACCACTCGCGCGACGGTGTGACGTAATCTCCGTCTCGGCTTCCACGTTCCGTTAAACACGGTGGTTTCAATCCTGACAGGGCACTAAGGAGGTGCCGACCCGAAAGGTCACACTTGTTATCAGAAATGCGCCAGAATATGTTGAAGAATTTAAGTATTTTNGTAGATAAATTATAACAAGTTGAATATTTTTGCAGTTTTGGATCGATCTGTATTAAAATAAACATAAATCTAGCAACGAGTTGCATAAATTTCCAGGTTGTTAATTAAACGATTTCATTTTAAAAATAACATATATAATAAACTAGCCCGGATTGCACAGCGCGGTTCGAAAACTCAAAGATGGAGTTGACTTTTCCTCGTAAGGTACGGTAGGTTTCCTCTATGGTGGCAGAGAGTAACTATGAGCATATTCAAATTCTAAGCATCAATTCAGTGAGATGCTGCCGACAGTGACTCAATTGCTGACGTTGTCGAGACAGAAGACGCTAGCCGCCAAAATATCCCAAAAGTAAAACAAAAAAAAAATGGCGCATGGTGTGGATTTACAAGCTACATTGAAGTTATTTTTGAATTTATTTAATGAGAACAACTAAATAAAAAATGAATATTTCGAAAAAAATTGAGATGAAGATCTTTTAATTTCTGCAGGCGTTAAAAATAACGAAATCAACTCTGAGATTACAATTTAAAAAGTAAAGAAATTACGTGATGTCATATGTAAATATAGTGCAATATTAAAATATTTTATGAATGTACTGTCCTAATTATAATTTATTCAAGATACGTTTATCCACATATAAATTAAATACAAAATTGCCAACGCAAAACTTAGCACTTACAAATCTCATGGTGGCCGCCATCTTGTTTGCTGGCATATTCAGCACCTCGTACAGTTTTCTGGTAGTAACCAGAAGTTGCTTCAGATTTTGAACAGAAGTGCTGAGAAGTACTGTCAGCATGCTGAGATTTTTAATACCTCTATGCAAAATTTAGTAAAAATCACTCAAAGGTTAGGAAAATCAGTTATGATTCAATTTTTGAAGTTGCAATACACGTTTTGGAAGAAAATAGACAATAACTATGCAAAATTTTTTTGCATTGCTCCAAAGGTTTGATAGCTTTCAAATACAGGATGAAACTGGTGAGAAGTTAAGATTCCGAGTTTTATGGTAGTCCACGTTCCCTATAGGTACCTATGCAAAAATTAATCAAGAGATTGGGCGTTTGTAGGAAAGATAAAATCAACAGGAAGAGTGGTGCTCAAGATTTAAGGTGGCTCACGTACATTGGAAAGTATGTCATTCAATGGTCTCTTGA